AAAAAATAAGAACCAGGAGAGATTATGTAAAGGTGCAAATTTCCAATGATGAATGTCATTATATTGTATACCTAAAATGTACCAATAAAATTTAAAAAAAATTTAAATGTTTTGCAACTTATATATGGCTGTTTTATATATTCTAGATGTAGCCCAAGAAAATCCCTCTTCGTTCATGGGACCCCAGGCAAGCCAACTGTGTCCAACCAGATAGTGAGACAATCCCACAGCAAGTTGGCACATCCAGAGATGAGGCCAGCTGGGAGAGGTATTTAATCCTTACTGAGAAGGTCAAGGAAGGTATCCAAAAGATAAAACATGAGTGAGCAGAGGCTGTGGAGGAGTTAGGCTGGGGAGGGGGCACATTCCAGACCAAGGGAACTAAGGGGTAGAACGGTCCAGAAACAGCGCTGACACAATGTTTAGGAAACTTCAAGTGGTCCAGTTTGCCTCGCATGTCATGGTCGTGGCAAGGGGTGACTTGTGCCCCTTGAATGACCAATTTCAACAACGTCCCCTGCCCGAGTAAGCACAACATAGTGAAGAGTATCCTTGGCATGCAAGAGCAGCTTCACAGTATACGTTCCCCAGCCCCACCCCACCATCAGTATAGTAATTAAAATGTCACACACGTGTAGCTAAGGGCTGTACAGTGAAGGGAACAATGGGCTGAATTTCCAGTAAGTCACTGTGTGGCTCCCTACCCAGGTCAGTTGCCCTCTGAATGACCTTTAATGTCCCTCCAGTCTGGTGGCTAGAGTACAACAGTGAACCCCCACCACAGATATGTTACTAGAAAATCAAATGCAGAGATCTGTAGACCTCCACAAAGGCTCAGGCTGATCCGCAACCTGTCCTCCCCTGACCCCCAACTCCATCAACATTTCTTAAAAGGCAAAGCAATCTAATTGTGGCGTCTCCTGTCAGTTCACATGGAGCCTGCACTGAAAGTTCACCAACAACAATCACTTCAAAATCAGCTCCTGGAATCAATCACAAATCATACAATCAAGGTCGGGGCTGGTTTTCAGACTTCGAAGTATATAATTATTATGGAGACCTCCTAAATGCATGTAGCTCTCCCAACCCTCCTACCGAGATTCTAATTCAGCTGGAGGGTGAAGTTGCCAGTTGCACAACCTCCTCAGGAGATTCTGGGGAGATTTTCACAAGAGGTGGGCTGGAGACAAAAAGCTGAATCTAGTAATTGGGAATGCGGGCAAAGGCATGCAGGGGCCAATCATCTAGTTAGCAGGGCATGGGCTTCAGGTGCTTTCCTGGGAAGTAAGCAAACAGGAAAGGGGTAAGGGGCTAGTTGTGCCTAGGCCGAAATGGGGGGGGGGGGCGCTATGCTCATTCACTCATTTAATACATTTGTGTTTTGTTTCTGGTTTTTTTTTTGGTACTGGGGATCGAACTCGGGTCCTTGCACTTGCAGGGCAGGCGGTGGAATCACTGAGCTAAATCCCCGGCACTCATTTAATACATTTTCATGTGCACCTATATGGATCAGATACAGGAGATTACAGAAGTAAACAAGACAAACGAAGTCCGTGCGTTCATATTGGCATGGCCTCTCACCTACCTGGTAAACTTGCTATGGTTGCCGGCAAAGCTGTAGCCCAGACTGCCCCAGCGATTCCTAAGGCCCTCTGTCACAGGCAGCGGGAGAATGAGACAAAGGCAAGCCCTCTGAGAGGAACTGCAGCTGAAACTGTAGACTTCCTCGGTCCTCCAGAAGCACCTCAGAACACACTGGAGGGGCTCCCTGCCTCCTATGCTCTGTGAGTGGGAAGATGGGGCCAACGGTCTTCCCAGAGAACCAGATGGCAATGTCCCCAGTGAAAAGTGTCCTATGAGGTATGCTGTGCTGCCCCAGCTCCCGCGTCTCACTTTTGGACAAGCAGGTGTCCTGCCCAGCCAGTCTTGCTAAAGCACCCTTTGGGTGGTATCACCCCTTGTCCCAGGGTTGAATCTAAAGCACCAGCCCAGGCATTTGAGCCCCTGTATACTTAAGCCCTACCTTAGTGTTTGCTCCTCAAACTTTAACAGCTTTCCTTACTGGCATCCCCTGTAAACTCCCTGCCTGCCCATTTTGCTGGGTCCAGTTTAAATGCCACCTCTTCCAGAAGCTATGACCCTCTCAGCAAGGAGAGCCTCTTGCCTTCTAAATTCTGCACAGCCCTTGGGTGTTTTGACCAGTTAGTGCTTTCTTGCCTACATAATTTATCTGCTAGGTCAGGATGTGCTCTTTGTAGATAAGGGGTATCTGTGTGTTTTTTATATCCCTTCTTAGGACCTAACACAGTGTGCCTAAGTATTTGTGGAGTGCAATACCAAGTTTTTATTCTGTTAGGGAATTCAGTTTGTTCTATTTATCGTATTGGTCAATTACAAATTTACTCCAGAGGCCATGCTAATGAAGCAGAAATAACTCTGCTGTGAGCATAAAGGCGAAGTTTTACTCATTAGTCTATAATATTTTATGCACTGGCTTAGGGAGACTTGAGGATTTGGGCTTTTTAATTTCTACTGAACCCCTTCCAAAATCTCACTCTCACCACTTTCACCCCACCCTACAATCTCTACCTCCCTTAACAGCTGCACTGCCCTAGGGTTTTGACTTCCAAACTCCTCCCACCCTTACCCACCTCTCCATATTCTTTCAGGCCAGAGGAATAAATCTTCCACCACTCCTGGTCACAAAGCGCATCCCTCTGGCGACCTCAGGAACTAAGGCTGCCTTACTACGAGCGCAGCACACTTATAACTAATACAACTGTAATTTTTAGGCAAGTTCCAAACACATGACTGTAATTTCCAACTCAAACACAGATTATATTGGCTGAATTCTAAGTTGATATATTTTGTTTTTGCCAAAATATTGCGGACTTTAATGCTTTACTGATTTTTATTTATAGAGAAGAACACTTAAGTGATACTGGTAGGTGCCCAGCACTGTGCTAGAAGCTTGAAATCTAGACATCATCTGATACAATGAACTTAGCAGACCACATTTCCATTTTACAGGCGAAAAAGCGAGGTCAATGGGCATCAAGGGACTTGCCCGAAGTTACAGTTAATGTGTAGAGCTAGGATTCCAATGTTGATCCTTTCACAACAAAGTCCATAATCTTTTAGTTATACCATGCTGCAGACTTAAATAAAACCCAATCCGTCTGACCAGTCCGTCTTCCACATCAAAGCAGATCACCAAAAAGAAGTAACCTCAGAGAAGGTAGCTTTTTACATTCCAAGCAAAAGGAGCACCGTTGGCTCACCATCTTATTTCGTCAAGATCTCAAATGTTGGTTTTCCTAGAGAAAGCATTGAAAGACCCAATATCAAGTACTTGTATTAATCACCAAAATTATAAACGGTTTTGCAAAATAAATCACACCTTCAAATATATTACTTCCATAGTTGCTTTCCAGAAATTAGGTGCATGGTACAGTGGAGCAAAAACGGAAGACTACAGATTACACAAAGTTAAGTGTTACAGTTTGGTCCAACGTAATTGAATCGGCAAGGCCATTAAAGTCAACAACCAAAACAAGGATTAAAGTATCTTGTAACCAAGTAAACACCTGCCAGGAATTTATGTTGTTTTGTTTTTTGTTTTTTTTTTGGTACCAGGGATCGAACTCAGGTCCTTGTGCTTGCGCAGCAGGCAGCGAAACCACCGAGCTAAATCCCCGGCCCACGTGCCAGGAACTTAAGAAGGTCACATGGCTTCATTCAACAAACATTTATTGAACACCAGCAAATGTGGTAGGTGCTAAGAAATACTGTGTAACTGTGAACAAGATAAGGCAGATTCCTGCCCTGACTGGATACTTTTACTTTAAATGGTCTTGCTAACTACTAATAATATTTGATGTTCTGTAATAGAATTTATTTATATATATGTATTTTCTTAAACAGCCATACGAGGCCTCTTCTGGAATACTTTAAAGTTTCTTTATGGTAAACTTGACAGAAACCTTTAACTTAGATAGGGAAGAAAAATGGTCTCCAGTATCCTTTCAACAAGAACGGTGAAGGTCCGTTAGCTCTCAAGCAACGTGGCAGTTGGCGACCAACGAGGCAGTTTAGACCATTCGGTTACGCTTGTGGGATGGGGAGTTTGTGATGCCATCGCCGAACTGGGCCGAGGTGCGCTTCCGGATCCCCCCACTGTCCAGACGAAGGGCCAGTTCTTCTGAGCCGAGGGGGTTCAGGTCGTCCTCGAGGAAGCTACTCTTTCGGCGCCCACCGCAGGCGACACTGCCATCTTGGGGCGGGGAGCCGGGGGGCCCGGCCCGCACGCTGATGCTCGCCATGGCGCCATCTAGGCCATGCAGCGCGGTGGCCTCGTGGAAGGGCTGCAGGTCGACGTCCACGGAGGGGCTGGATTCCGCGGCCGAAGAGGGGCTGGTGGCCCCAGCAGGGGGCTTCGGGGGCGTCCGGGGGGCGCGCGGCGGGGGCGGCGCAGGGGGAGCTTTGCCACACAGGAAGCTGATGAGGTCTTCGCGGCGAACGGTGCTCCGGCCCTTTTTCGCCCACTCCAGCACATCTCTGATGCGACGCTGGTAGCCAACCTGGACGCCCAGGTCGAAACTTCGCTGGTGGGCACCCCCGCTCTCCTTGTAGAGGCCCGTCACGGCCACGGCCGCACTCTGGAAATGGTCCCACACGGAGAGCCCCGGCTGGCACCCGGGGTCCTTGTAGAGCTGGGCCACGGCGGTGGCTGAGATCTGGAAGAGGTGCCACAGCCTCTGCCGCTCGCTCTTAAGCCCCGCCTGCAGCTCGGGGGGCAGCTGCTCGCCCTGCTCGGCCTCGGCCAGGCACTGGCGCTCCCACTTGGAGAACCACTGCTCGGCGAGCTCGGCCTCGCCCTCCCTCGGCGGCTCCTCCATCCTCCTCCTCCTCCTCCTCCTCCTCCTCCGCCTCCTCACCTCCTCGCCGAGCTCCCCGCCTCCTTCCGCGCCCGCCGCCGCCTCCTCCTCCTCCGCGTGCGTCCCGGGGCGGGCGCGCGGGCGGCGGGGCCCTGAGGCCAAAGGCTCCGGCGCCCGTTGCCCGAGGCCGAGTGCTCGCCCCGCCCCCACAGCCCAACGCCCGCGCGCTGTCCGCGCCCGCGACCAGA